TTTTATCACCCTTGGTAGAGTGTGGTGGCGTCACAGCTCACAGCAACCTTCAACTCCTGGGCTTAGGCAATTCTCTTGCCTCAGCCTCCTGAGTAGCTGGGACTACAGGCGCCTGCCACAATGCCCAGCTATTTTTTGTTGCAGTTTGGCCAGGGCCGGGTTTGAACCCGCCACCCTCAGTATATGGGGCTGGCGCCATACCCACTGAACCACAGGTGCCGCCCAAAATAAGCATATTTTATCATACTGGCAAAGTCCCTACTACCTACACTTAAAATGAATCAAGTACTGAGCTTTGAAGGGAATGATTTTTTTTTTATTTGCATGATACAACATCTATCATTTGATTTTTGCAGTAAGATTATAAAGAGGATCAGCCATTTGGGAGGAACTATTTATGAGATTAATTAGAAAATTAAGGGCCACTCATTGAAAAACTCAGTATAACCTCTTGAAACATCTTTTTGTCATCATCCTCATTGGCTTTCTCATCTTCCATCTAACTGCCCAGCACTCGTTTGTCAGTTGCTATGGGTGTCATGCAGACAGCTTTCCAGTACTAGAATTCCAAGTTCATACATTCCTACTGCCTTCCTAAATAGATTGGGTTATATTTACCTTGTCTGAATTGTCCATCCAAGAACTTTTGAGCACCTGTGAAGATTTCGTCTCCAGACAAGGATCTGGTTTGAAAGGGCTGGTGGTATAAAGGTAGTCAGTTCCTTGGCGACTGTGTGGTGCTGACTCCCTTGCACCTTCTGTCCTGCAGGGACTCTGACAAAATGTGGATAGTACAGGCTGTATACATGCTATGCAGTTTGCTTTTACTGTTCTTATTCTCAATTTAGTAGAAAAATGAAAGAGCTGGTGCAAGGGGTGATAGGATGCAATACCATTGAAAGGAAGGTAGGAATCTTTCTCATATAGAGTCTTAGTTGAATGCTGACTAGCATTTAAGTTAGTCAATTACAGATTCAGTTCTTTAAAAAGGGTATGATGAGAAAAATAGCACAAATTGATAGAGACCTATAGTGGAAAGGCATATCTGCAGATGAGGGCATCAGAATTCTGCTTTTGCTCCCCAGCCTCTTCTAGAATGCTGGTTTTTCTGCGTGGGCTGCAGGTGGGTGTTCAGTCTGGGGTTGGGGCAAAACCACTAACACGAGTACTGTGTATCACTCCATAGCGCGGGAGCCACAGGAGTGAAAAGGATCCCAAGGTTCCCTTACACATGTTCTTGCTTTGACCTAGAAATTCCCTCATGGGAATTTATCTGAAGAGAAGAGGCAGATTAAGTGCACAGTAGTGTACACAGAGTGATATTCATCAGCAATATATTATTCATATAAGAACATACACATAAAGAGGTGGCCAGGGGTTTAAGATTCTAAGTAACTTTTATTTGGTATAGTCTGAATGCTTTTCAAGTACATACTAACCTTTATAATTGGTGGATGAAACCATTCCCCATTTGAAGGAGATGAGCTCTTAAGCAAATAATCATTTTCATTAGGGCAGCAGGGGCTAGGAAGTACCAGAGATTTGTCAGCATTGATAAGCACCTGGTTCTGGGGCCTTCAGCTCCTCCCTTCCTCTCACAGCATTTCTTCTTCCCTGCAGACTGCAATAAGGTCACTGATCAGTGCCTGTCCTTCTTTAAACGCTGTGGAAACATCTGTCATATTGACCTGAGGTACTGCAAGCAAGTCACCAAGGCAGGCTGTGAGCAGTTCATAGCCGAAATGTCTGTGAGTGTCCAGTTTGGGCAAGTAGAAGAAAAACTTCTGCAAAAACTGAGTTAGTCCCAGGACAAGTATGTAAATATGGGATGGGCAGGGAG